TGTAGATCTAAATATGGATTATATGTTTCGAATGATAGAAGTATCAAAAGAATAGTATTTGCTTCCAAGACAATAAGTGTTTTCCGGTGAGATGGTAAGAAGTCTTTAGGTGGAGAGAGAGGTAAAATGGTATTAAAATCTTGTGAGTTGTGGGAAACGATACTTGACCATGGCTGCCTAGTGAAATATGTCATTCCTCCGTTTCACAGTGTGTAAGACTTTTGTCCATATTTATATATATGCTAATGAATCTATATATATAATAATGTCTAGATTCATTAGCATCTATATGAACGTGGGTAATGCTAGAAAGTCTTACATTGTGAAACGGAGGGAGTAATACTATGTTTTTAGGTTTTTCACGCATGTAAAAATAAAATTGGGTGCCCATTGGTTATCCTCACTAGTTCCCCTATATTGATGTTGGTTAAAAAAACCAGCACCAACAAAGGGCTCAGAACAGGTACCTATGAAGGTTTTATCTACAGGTAAGGGGTGATGGCAGAGGACGGTAAAAGGAGAGGTGTGGCCTATAGACCAGTGTGGTAGAGTGAATTAACAGACCATAGGAAGAACGAATGGAAAGGAGAAATGTTCTCACAATCTGCAAAAGCAGTTAGCACTTTGCAAACACGACGAAACTGTATACTTTGCAAATTACAATATTAAAATTCCCAATATATATCTATACCAATTTAAGAGGATGTGGCTGGATTTGCCGCCGCATTTCCCTTTTCCCTTCCTCTCTCGATCTTCACAAATCGCAAAATAATCAAAAAAGTTCATGACCAGATTAACAGCCTCCTAATCTGCCTTTGCTTGCCCTAGCCAACCACCCCTGCACGCCGTCGAGCGCCCGCGCTGCCATTGCCTGTCGATGTCAAGCAGATCATGAGCTCAGGAAGACTGCAACTACGGTGCAGGTGTGTTGCCCAGGAAGGCTCCATTCGCTCCAGATCGCTGACTCATGTGCCTGCTCACATCCATGGCGGCACTCCGACAACGGTTGCAAAAGTAAGTGGTCGGACTCTCACCGTGAGCGAGGTATTGTTCACTCCAGATCTTGTCCAACCGAGTGCTCAGTGTGCTACTGCATAGAAATGTTGCCAGACTACTGTGTTTCATAGCAAGTCAATTTCAAGTATTACTGATGCCTCACAGCCCTATATGAATGCTAATGATATGGCAATACTAATCACTGGAATGACAAAAAAAAAATCCCTAATGAATCTGTTGTCTCGCTACTCTTGAGCTATGGCACTATGACAGCTATGGCTCTCTTATATAGATGGCCATTTTTCCAATTAAAAATTTAGTACACCCCTGCTGCTCTGTATGCTATTACTTTCTTCTAGAATTAGGTGAGATTGTTGATTATTGGATCTTCTAAGTGGTAGCCTACGTCCAATATAATAGTAATTAAATATGTTTTCAATTTGTCACGTATAGCATTGAGATATTACCATTTTCATTGCCAGTCTTTTTTTTACATGTTATATGCATCAGTAAACTAGTAAATCATTAACAAGATTCATAAACCTTAAACAATAAGAGATTAGGGCAGCTGGGAGCAGGCGAGAATGTGGTGCAGAGGACAATGGGTGGTAGAGGCAGCGAAGGCTGTGAGGATGGGTGGCAGCGGGGATAGAGGTGGAAGCGAGTAGGAGGGGGGGAGGCATGGATGTGGTGAGGAGGAGGAAGAGGGGGGGACATGACGACGGGTGGTGGCGTTGACGACGAAGGCAAGCTGGAGGGGATAGGGACGACAAGATGCATGAGAGAGAGAGAGACGATGAACGCGGGTTGACTCAGTGGGGTTAAAAGGAATACCCACCCGATGACCAATGGCTCGGCTTAGTTTTTCATAGGTGTCGGTTTTTTAAAAGAACAGAACCTATAATATGTTATGGATGCCTTTGAACCGGGATATTTTGAACCGACAGATATAGTTGTACGAAGGTGGTGGTCCTTTATTTTTTCTATCCCACAGAGGTGGGAACGATCAATAAGTGTCGGTTTTAAATAAACCGGAACATAGGAGAAAATACCTATCACAGTTTTTGTACTAGTGAATTCTTAGCTTTTATACATTTTAGGTTGTCTACAAACAGTTCTTCTTTTACGCATATATTTTGTTGTTCTTATGTGCAAACTTTTGTATATTACAACCCTAATAGTGTCCGTGGCTTTTACACGGGGTTACATGTGGCCTGAGTATAATGTACATATGTATGCCTAGAGTATAATGTACATAGATACATAAAGTGTACATGCTGTATGGGCAAGATTATCATCTAATTTCATTGAATTCACCTGTTTGAATCCAAATCATGCCTAGCATGAAAGGATGGCCTCGCTCTTAGCCAGTTGTCTATGCTTAGGTCCTGGCTTTCGTGCATTTTTTTTTAGAGTAAAGTCCATCACTGGTCCCTAAACTTGTACCACTGTGTCATCTCGGTCCCTAAACTCGCAAATTGACCATTCAGGTCCTCAAACTTGTTTGACTGTGTCATCCCGGTCCCTAAACTTGCAGATCACTCGTTTAGCTCCAACTTGTTTAGTTGTGTCACCCCGGTCCCTAAACAGGACGGTCTAAAAACTTTATATTAAAAAATAATTCATAACTTTTTCATGTGAACTCTAATGAAGATAAACTTTATATCAAAATTGTAGTCTTCGACGCGACTTACAACTTTGTAGTTGAAAAGTTTTTGAATTAAAACCGTTTAGGTCCCAAAATATTGTTGCATGTTTATATATTTTGAAATTTTAATTTTAAAATTACATTTTGGGACAAAAAATGACTTAAAATAAAAAAATTCAACTACAAAGTTGTAGATCGCATCGAGGGCTACAAGTTTGATATAAAGTTTTTCTTCATTAGAATTTACATGAAAAAGTTATAAATTATTTTTAAATATAAAGTCTTTAGACTGTCTTATTTGACCCAGATGATATTCAAATCCAAGTTTAGGGACCGGGGTGACACAACTGAACAAGTTGTAGGACCTAAACGAGTGATCTGCAAGTTTAGGGACTGGGATGACACAGTCGAACAAGTTTGAGGACCTGAACGGTCGATTTGCGAGTTTAGGGACCGGGATGACACAACGGTACAAGTTTAGGGACCGGTGATGGACTTTACTCTTTTTTTAATAATGTGTTTTGAAGATAGTCTGACCTGTTTGGCATAGCTACTGCTCCAACTCCACCTTCACCTCTCCTGAAGCTAGAACTCAGCCAAATAGTTTCAGCACCATCTAAAATGGGAGCGGAGCTGGGTAGAGCTCTCTCACAAAATGAACTAGAGAGTTAGAGCTGGGTTTAGGTTGCTCCACGACTCCACTTCCAGACCCAACTCCTAGAGCTAAATTTAGGAGTTGGAGCTCTACCAAACAGGCTAATATTTTTTTACTCCATCTGTCCCAAAATAAGTTATTTTTTGGGCTCTTCTATTTGTGAAAGTAGAGAATAATGCATTACAGGTAAATGAAGTGAGAAATATTGTTATACGGTTTAGATTCACTGTGAGAATTCGCTTTGATATATATTTTTTCTAGAAAATCATGAGCTGAGTCTGAAAGTTAGCATGCAAGTTTTTTAAAGAGATCTCTTATAATACTGCTCCTATATTTTCAGAGGCGAACGAAATTAAAAACCGACTAATTCATGGATGACATACTAAAGTACCAACAAAAACATCTTCAATTTTTATAACATACTAGAAAAAATGCCCGTGCGTTGCAACGGTAAATACTATTTTAATTTTATTATTGTTATAAGGTTTAGCTATGGTAAAATTCACCGTGGGAATTCGGTTGGATATTTTTTTCTTTGAAAATCATAAGCTGCAATTAGGAGTCTATATTTCATCTCAAGTTAGTATGCGAGTTTTTTTTAAAGAGGTTTCTTATACGTCTCCTTTTATATTTCCAAAAGCAAATAATCTTAAAATTCAACTCAAACATGGATCTGTATTTCTAAAATCGAATGAACTTAAAAACCAACTCAAAGAAAGATAACGTATGCAAAAGTATCTTCAATTTTAATTTTTATAACAGTAGAGATATATATAATAGTTTCGTTGTGAGAATTCACTTGGATATATATTTTTCTAGAAAATCATGAGTTGCAATTATAAGTCCGATCATCTTTTAAGTTAGTATGCAAGTTTTTTTAAAGAGATTTCTTATAAGATTCCTCATTATTTCCAAAAACGAATGAATTTAAAATCCGACTCAAATACATATCTATATTTTAAAAAGCAAAAGGACTTAGAAACCGATCATACACGGATGATGTTCCAAAGTACAGTCAAAAACATATTTAATTTTTATAATAGTAGAGAGATATGCATATGTATGGAACAAGTTAAAAATAATTTTAGGAAGGAGGGACTATATCCGGAAGTAAAAGTTAAAGTTATTTTTATAAGAGTAAGGTTGTGTTCTTTCTCCTTCTTTCCCAACTCACTTTTTTTTCGCACGCACGCTTTTAAACTGCTAAACAATACTTTATCCGTCTCATAATACAATGGATTTTAGGTGGATATGACACATCATGTCTGTGTCACATCCACTTAAAATATCTTATATTATGGGACGGAAGGAAGTATATTCTTTTTAAAAGTTTTCTATAGGAAAGCTGTTTTAAAAAATCATAATAATCGAGTTTTCGAGCTTTTGAGATTAATAGTTAATTAATCACGTTTTAACGGGTACCACCATTTTTCGTGTGGGGGAGTTGGAACCTCCCGAGTATCGTTTAGGACCGTTTTCCGTGTGATCGGCAGCGGCACAGCCATACGCCCATACCCATACCCCGGACGCAGACGATCGCAAACCCTCTCTTGCCCAGTTGAGTTGCCAGTGCAGTGCCAGCTCCTCTCGTGATGCCCGTACACCACGCCCGCGGTATCCGAGGAAGAGGACCCCACTTACAGTGGACCCCACCTACCAGTCTTGTCCCATGGACCAATCCCACGCGGTGCACAGTGAGTGCCACAGCACAGAGTGAGAGAAAGAAGCAGCAGAGAGAGAGAGAGAGCTCTCGTCCCGTGTTGTTCCACTCATCACACCTCTCCCTCCTCCCCTCTCATGGCCGCCGCCTCCGAACCCTAGCTCTCTCTCTCTCTCTCTCTCTCTCTCTCTCTCTCTCGCGCCCCACCCAGATCTGCGCCGGCGACGGCAAGGATGGAAGGCGGCGGGGCTCAGCGCCACCACCGCGGGCGGCGCCGAGGTGCGGCGGGGTCCGCCGCGCGAACGCCCCGGGGCTGGTGCTGCTCCTTCGCTGGCGTCCCGCAGAGCCCCGACCTCCGCCCCTTCCCTCCCTCCCTCGCGCCGCCGGCCACGGCGGCGTCTTCCTCCCCGGCGCCGGGTGGTGGTGCCGGGAGGAATAAGCTGCCGCCCAAGTCCCCCTCGATCTCGTCGTTCCACAGCTCGCCGACGTCGTCGAGGCTCGCCGGCCTCGGCGGCCTCATCGACCCGCGCCGCATCCTCTCCCCCGGCCGCGTCTCGCCCATCGACCTCGATGACTCCGCGCCCCCGCTCCCGCTCCCGCTCCCGCTCCCGCCGCCGCCGGTGACGCCCGCGGCGGAGACGGTGGTGGTCCCGGCGGAGACGTCGGCGGCGGTGGCGCCGTTGGTGGTGGCGTCGGCGGAGGCGGATGCGGCGGGCGACGAGGCGCTGGATCTGAGGCTTTTCCTTCGCGGGAGGGACGGGAGTACGTGCGTGGTGATGGAGCTCGACTCCGGGGTGCTCTGCGACAGCAGCGCCTTCTTCGCCGCCATGGCGCCGCCGCGCGGGCCCGCCGGTGACGGAGGAGGGAGCGGCAGGAGGATCGAGGTGGACGGGGTGGACAATGTGGAGGCGTTCCGCGCCGCCGTCGAGCTCATGTACCAGCCTGATCCGCTGCGGTGGCTCGCCGCCGCTGGCGTGTCGCGCTCCATTGATGTGCTCGAGGTGAGGGAAACGAATTAAGCTTAAGCAGCTTCTCTTAATTGATTTTGTGTTACTAGTAGCATGATGTGGTTGCAAAAGAAGTAGTACTACTTGCAATAATGGATGGCATTTTGTTACCCACAACAGGGCAGGAAATTTAGTGGGCATTGCAACCAAACAATCATTCACGGTACATTGATGTTGTGTTCCTTATATGTTCATTTTCCGAAGCCATTTTGGTGGTAGATATCCAGTGTGGTGTTACCAAAATACTCATTTTCACATTTTTTTTTGATAGGCGCACAAGTTAGAGCCCCAGCGTTTGCCTTTCAGCTTATAAGCCACTGCCAAAATTTAATTTGGAAACTTAATTTTTGAATTGATTATGAGGTTTTTTTCATTGTAGTTTATGTTTCCAGCATTGGCTTTTAAATCGCTAACTAGTTCACATATATAAAGTTTTACGAACGGAATATTTTTTGATCGCTGATAAGCCGTTACGGCTTATAATCAGCATATGCCAAACAACGATAGCTCTAGCATTCGAGTGAAACTAATATGATATGATTGTGTGAGAAGCATTTGACCTGGGATATTAGTGATTTAATATCATCTAATGCTTTTATTAAACCATTGCTTTCATGTAAGTTATGCAAAGTGATATGTAAGTATATAATTATAACCATATTAGATGTTGTAGATCACTCACTTTCTATGTGAATTGTTTGCATGCTGGTATTGTTTGTTTAATATGTTAAATCATGGATTAGATAATAATACAATCACTATAAGTCTTGTAACCATACACATTCTATGGCTTGATGTCCATTAGATCACATTCTACAGCTATGAAAGTCAGCTACAAATGCATTTAGTGGTTTGAATGCATCTAGGCCCGCAATTAAAAGCAAGTATTCCTGTTGCCCATAATTGCTATCTAGTGATCCAAATAAAGCAGCCACCATTGCTGTCCAATATCTTTGTAACATCTTTTCAATTCTAGCATGTATATTTCTCAAGTGGGGATTTACAGAATAATATGTTATTAAATGCTTCTTTCTTGCATTGGTAATGAGTTTATTAAATGCCAACTAATTAATCACGTACATAATTTGTTTATTAATGCTTTAATTGCAGGTGTCTTCATCAATCATGTTTGAAAGAGGAGTTAAATTGTGTTTGTCATACATAGAAGCAGTTCCATGGAATGAGAACGAGGAGGAGAAGCTCAAGAATCTCTTTGCAAGATGTACTTTTGATGAAGCAATATCCCAAGATGTTCTGGCTAGATTGCGGCCTCACAGCTGGAGCAGCTCAGAAGACCTCACAGTGCATCTTATCCAATCAGTCACGAGCAGCACCAACAGTGGTGCAAGAAAAGATATGCAATCTTTGGTAAATGGCCTTCTAAGCAAAAGTTCTGTCTACCAAAAAGACATGGCAGGGCTAAACAGAGAGAGCCTGTATAATATCTGTTATGCCTGTTTAAATTCACTAGTGGATCTTTATGACGAAGCAACAGAGGCTACAAACCACACTGCTCAAGCATTAGTTATCAAGGGCAGTAAACCATTTATTGAGAGAATCTCTCAGCAGACAGAGAACCTCAACTGGCTCTTGGACATTCTTGTGAATATTGACATGGCTGAAGAGTTTGTGGAGCTGTGGGCAAAGCAAGACAGGCTCATCAGGATACATGAGCAGGCATCACCCATGATGAGGTATGAACTAAGCCGAATATCTGCTAGTGTTTTCATCGCACTCGGCAAAGGAAAAGTTCAGTGCCGTGGAGAGCTGAGGAGCCTCCTCTTCTACGGATGGTTCAGCCCGATGTTGCTTGATTTCGGCTGGCTTCAGCGATGCTCCAAAGGTCTGGATGTAAGATCTTTGGAGGAAAATCTAGGACAGGCCCTACTAACCCTCCCACTCAAGCAGCAGCAGTGTCTATTTGAGGAGTGGTTTCAGTGTTTTGCATCCAAAGGATCAGAGTGCCCGAACCTTACTAGAGCTTTCCAGGTATGGTGGAGAAGGTCCTTCGTTAGATCATCGGTAGAAGGTCAGTGATAATGTTTTTACTACTAGTATATGCTGTCTGTACCACTTGTAAAATTGCAATTGTTGGAATAACTAGTAGGGGTGATCAGGTGAATGATGTCTACCGTAGTTTAGCCCTTTCGATTGTATGTGCATAAGCTTGTTAAATTTATTTTGAGGAATGGATGGCTTTGGTGTGTGTATGTTAAGTTTGAGCCTTCTTGATTCATTACAGTTAACCTTGTGACATCAAAGTAAGAAAAAAACAAAGCTAGTGTGGTTAGTTTTGTTTATTGGACTGCACATTGCCATGACGTTCCAAGTTAACCAAGCTATTATCTCACTGCCTAAATCGCCTTGAAATTACTGTTTCATGTTGAATCTACCTCTTGAATGTTGCCATTGATTTGAGTGTGATGAGTGTGAAACGACTGTAAAGTTTGAACCACCATTTGGGGCAAATCGAGAGTAAAACGACTTTAAAGTTTTGACTTAGCCCTCTACGTAGAAACTTTGTAGACACCGAGCAATTCCAGTTGAGATTTTGGGGAAAGTAAAAAATCTCAAATAGTCGCACAGTTCAATGCTAATCTTGTTTGATTTTTGAGCAAAACTTTTGGCAATGCCTACGACAGATCGATCGTAGTGTGCGCTGTCCAAAGTACCAACATGAGCAAACATCTTCACCTGACGACCCATCGGCAACGGCTACTTTGGGCACCGGTGAATTCAGCATGAAAGAACTGACGAAATCAAGCAGAAAAAGTCGATACTATTTTCCTGATGCATCCTAATCTTATTATGGAGGAGTGTAACAATTAAAATTGGACCGTTGCTTTCTAAATAATACAAGTGTAATGTGCCGGTGCCACGTTGAAGAGAGGAAGTATTTTTCCTTCAGTTACTTTTGAGGCATCTAATCAAGCTGAACTGTAGGCATGCATTTTCTTTTTTCATTTTGAGAGGACCAAGTGAAGTTTGTGAATAAACGAATGAATCCTATGGCTGTATACACACACACATATTGTGAGTGGGCAGGTTGATATTGTCCATATTGCTGTCCTTTAAACAGGTCTAGTACTGATTTACTTCCTCCGACGGCACGGCTATTAAAAATATAAATATAGGTAAAAAATGATTAAAAAAATGGTGTGATTGGTTGAAAAGAGAAAGTAGGTAAAGGGGAATGATTGTGATTGGTTGAGAGGAGGTAGGTGGAGAAAAAACTTTATTTTAGGACAAGTTATTGTGCTAGAAATAGTTACATTTTAAGATGAAGGTAGTATCTTTTAAGTATATTTTGGGGGTAAAAGTATATTTGAGGTGCCTCGTCCATCCTCCAACTTTTAAAACCAATATAAACAAGATCCTCAATAGTTTTATCCCTGATTTGGCTGACGTGGCGTCTACATGGCTGCTTTGACTAGGTCTTCGACCCATGTGACATTGACGTGACAATTTGATCTAGAAAAAATAATAAGAAATGCTGGGGGTCCACTGATCAGATCCCCTTCTTCCTCTCTCTGCTCTAGGGGAGGTGAAAGTGAGTTTGTTTGTTTCGGTTTCCACGCGCACGCTTCCCAAACTACTAAACGGTGTATGTTTTTTTTCAAAAGTTTTCTATATGAAATTTGCTTTAAAAATCATAATAATCCATTTTTAAAGTTTAAAATAGTTAATACTTAATTAATTATGCGCTAATGGCTCAGCCGTGGCGGGAGGTGGCCTCGGCTGCGGTGTCGCTAGGGCCTAGGGAATGGAGTGGTAGCCACCAGCAGGTGGATCCAAGGACCGCTCGCCACGCCGGCCCTTCTCCCCGCTGCGTCAGTGACGCCGCCGTCATGCCGGCCCTCCTCTCCGCCGCGCTGCTCCGCCTCCTGCCATGCTCCCGCCGCCGCTACGCAGGGGGAGGAAGGTAAGCAGGCGATACCTGTCGACGAAGAGGAAGGTGATCTCGGTTGGATTCTTAGGTTGCTGCCCTTGGGTTAGCTCCGGAAGGTTCTGATGCTTTGCCGCTACTGCTGCTCCTCCTGGCTTGGGGGTTGTGATGCCTTTGTCCTTCTCGAGGAACAAGGGAAGATCGTTGGTAGCTCTGTCGGTGGTCTCGTTCCTTCGGTTTTGGTAAATTTGCGTTGTTGATGCGCCTGCCGCGCTAGGAAAATTGACGGTGCTAAAATCGTTTTTTACCCAATATCCAACTTGGGAATCGTTCTTGTTTAGTGCAGAACTGCAGACTACATTTGGAGGATTTTGTTCAGTGCAGACTGCATTTGGATATGGCCAATTTTGTTTGTGTATTGACGAATGCGTGCCCTGTGTTAGACATGAGCAGACTGCATTTGGAGGATTCTACATCATCGATGAGGAATCCGGCGCCGGCAACGAGAGTGAGTAGGAGCCCGAGACACCATTATACACGCCGCTGGCCTCACCGCCACCGGAGCCGGGGCCACCTCCCGCCACCATCGAGGTTGCCCACAGCCGATGGAGAGGCGTCCCCTCCTCTGCCCTTCCTCCATGCCTGACGCAAGAAAGAGAGGAAGAAGAGACAGAAAAGGATAAGGGGATCTGACCAGTAGGCCCCATTGTTTTTATTATTTTATTATTTTTTTTACCAAATTGCTATGTAACCGTCGTGTCAATGCCACGTGGATGAAGACCTAGGCAAAGGGATAATACCACCGAGGGTGAAGTGTTACATAAGCGCCATGTCAGTCATAACCAAGGACAATACAACCGACGGACCTTATTTGCACTGGTTTTGAAAGTTGGATGATGCGTTGTATCTGGTTTTTCAGTTCAGGAACGATTTTGTAACTCGGTGACGAGATGAGGGATCTCAGATGTACCTTTTCCTTTTCCTATTTTTGTGTGGTATAAGTTTTTAAAGTCTATTTACATGCATGTCTTCCACCTATAAGATATATAGTAGTATTTATTTATTTGTCTATCTATTATATACTATGACTTCGTTAAACATCTTGTACACGCTCCTAAATCGTTATGTAACGCTCTAATAAATTAGAAAAAAATATTATAAGAAAGAGTAAAGTGCACAAATAGCCTCCAAACTTATGCATGTGTGTCATCTATGTCTCTAAACTCTCAAAATGCATTTTTGATCTCTAAACTTGCATCGTGTATTATTTAGGTCTAATCGAGCTCCAACCCGCTTTGTGTGCTGGTATGGTATGTCATGGTAACGTCTGTATCATTGAAACCCACATGTCTATCACCAATAGGAAAAACATTAAGAACATTTTTTTCTCCTCTCTTTTTTAATTTTATATTTTCTATGTAACTGACTTGTGGATCCCACTAACGTAGGTGCTACAGTGGCATGCCACATTAGCTCACGAAGTAGAGTAGAGCCTGTTTGGATTTATATGAACACATGACAAGTTCGGAAACCTAAAAAAAAACTATTTGAGAGTTTAAGGACCTAAATTACACACTCAAACAAGTTTAGAGACCGTCTGTGCACTTCACTCTATAATAAATAATAATACATCTAACCATTGATATTTAATTCATTTCAACCATTAGATATGTCGATACTTTTTTTTTTATTTTTGATCCATCTTAAAAATACCCCTTCCCGTCACGTGCGTTCCACCCTCCATCCAAGTGATGTAAGTTCCCCCTCCACTTGTGTGTATGTGCCAACCGTACTTCCCTGAGATATTTAATTATTTGGCACTATTACAAGTGGTAATTATAGATTTGTCACTGGATCCACATGTCGTAGACACATGAGGGCTCACATGTCATAGACTGTAAGTGATAAATCTTTAATTTCACATCTTAAAAGTGACAAATATTATAAAGTTGATAATGATTTGAAACGTTTTCTAAAAAAATGCTAATGAATAAACTTCGTGAAAACATAGTTTAGAAGCCCGAGAAGAAGGATCGCTGTTGTTCTCTAGCTATGTCTGTGTTGCCTTCTTCCCTTGTGCAGTGTGGTGCGGGAACAAGTCGCAGGTAAGGCAGGTACGGATGGCTGCCGAATTGAACTTCTATCGCAATATGTATCAACCTTATGCATCAGTTGGCTGGAGCTGATCCTTTATCTCATGGAGGATGTATGATTCTAGTTCCCTATGCTTCCTATCCCTAATTAAGTGCGATGAAGAAGAAAAGTATTGTTGCTAGGAGTGTCGATCGGAATTCTTAGAGTGCATAGGAAACAATGAACACGGCTGGAAGGATATTACAAGATTGGCTACTTACAATCCATAGCATCGATGCATGGTTGCTACTATTGGTTACAACAACTCATATATTTATTGGCTACTTTTGTTCATATATAATTTATTGCGTGGTAAAACATTTTTATTTGTGCTAGCATATTATCCTAAACTTTTTTTTTGCAATTAAGGTTAAATTATTCTCGGACCTACCAAGGTTTCAACAGAGAAGTCCATTTTACTCTGGAAAGTCTAGAAAATAACCCTCCTCCAAGAAGTCAAGAACTACTCTATGGTTTTAACAGTTCCGCGTTGAACCGTGCATTTTTGGTTGGTTTCTAGATTTTCATGAAAGTTTAGAGATGTCGGATGAACTTAATTAATCCTAGTTTATTCAATAAGATATTTTGAATGAGAAGAAGAGGTCGACAATTGGATATATAGAAAAACAGAAAGAAAAATGAACGAAGATAAATCAAATCCTTACAACAGAAACCTTCCGTGTAGTACATCTTAACAGAGATGGTTTTCAAATCATCCGTAATATCAGGAGTTCCATAGTTCGTCTAAAGACACTTTCAAGTGGTATTTTAAAAGTCAACCTACAAGACATTTCAGGCCATTCCAAATAGAGAGTTTCATATTATGATTTCTAAGAGTGTCACATAGGCACCGTTCTTTTATCATGAAGATGAAGATTTTACCTTGGTTTCCATTAGCATGCTTTTCAAACTACTAAACGGCGTGTTTTGTGCGAAAACTTTCTATATGAAAGTTGCTTCAAAGTATCAAATATATCATTTTCAAGTTTGTAATAATTAAAACTCAATTAATCATATGCTAATAGCTTTCTTGTTTTGCATGCCCGTATTTGTGAATCTTTATAAGATTCGAACGCAGCCATAATCTAAAAACATTTGGTTTGATGAATGAAAGAAAAATTTTCAATGCATAGTTTCATTTAGTGGTTTCATATGCTACATATGACATTTAATTATTAAATGGTATTATGAAACTATTTGGTCACAGTGGGGATTTCATTTCATTTCCAAGGTATAGGATGAAATGATTCAGTGGGATTTCATTATGTTTCCGAGGTATAGGTAAGTGCGCAAATCAAGTTTCATCTAGACGATACTCAACTTTTTCTCTCTATTCATAAAATCATTGACATGTCATAAGTTTAGTCTATATGACATCTCATCTAATGAGATGGAAACTCTTGTGGAACCTGCACACTGGGAATAGCCTTAGACACATTTTATAACATTTGCGAGATATTTGCAAAATTTGTCTTGTGGAAGAATCCCTACTATAAAAAACGATTTTTCATGATGTCGCCCTATAATTTTTGCTAGCGGCCGTACGCGAAAACCGCAAGCACAAACATATCGAGGGATAGGGGGCTACGGATCACCAATGAAAACCGATTTAACGGCCGCACTAAGAGGTCCGCCATAAAAAACAACTCTATTTTTCGAGGCGAACCTCTAAGTGTACACCAATGAAAATCGCGTTTTCGCCGGCGGTAGGTAAAGAGGTGTTAGGGTTATGGATACCACATACCCAATAATAATCGACTAAGCTCGGCAGGACCCACCATATACCATATCTTATACGAAAACAAACCTCATATATAGAAGGAGTTCCGAATAAGGAATGACAAAAGGAGTTCTATATGGAAACAACCAGGACTACTAGGATCGTATCCATATTTATCTCGCTAGTTTTACTTCGACAGGGGGCATCTATGGGTATAAATACAACCCCCTAGGAGGAGAGGAGACAAGCCAGAAGACATATAGATCAACACAAACCAATACGCTGCCACATATCAACATCAGAGATAAGCCTAGACAAACCCAATACGGTGCCTGCGAAGGCCGGCAAAAGAGATCTAGCACTATCTCTGATCTCGATGAGTTCGTTCAAGGAGGAAGACTACCCTGCCGTCGACTACAAGTTGGTTATCTAGCCGCCAAGTCGACGACAGCTAGACGGGTTATCCAATTATTGTACTTGTGTGATTCAGATGAATAAAGAAGCAACACCGGCTTCGGTCAACAGGAGTAGGGCTATTACCTGTCAGATAAGGGGCCCGAACCTGTATAAAAATCCATGTCTCCATCTCTTTTACCTCGATCTCACATATACCCTGGTACCAACGATCCCCATACCATTCAAATACTGTAGTCGTGATCTCAAACATCGACAAGAGGACCGCTGCAAAAAAAAAAAACTTTTGAGGTGAATAAAATCCATCGCCCACCAAACTCGCCTCTCGCTTGTCCCTCGGTCTCTCCTTCTCCCTCCCTTCTCTGGCCTCCCTTTTCCACTGCCGCCGGCTGCCATTGCCTCCACTGTCGCCGCATCGACCAACGGGGAGGTCCTTGGGAGTGGATACGGTGCCGGTGGGCCTCGAGAGGGTGGATCTGGTGTCGGTGGGCCTTGAGAGGGCGGATCCAGCGCCACTAGGCCTCGGAAGCGGTGCTGGTGGCTTTCGGCATCAACGGCGCGGGGGGAGGGAGTGACGGGGAGCAGATCCGGTGCCTCCTCCTTCCTCCCCACTGATGGCAGCGGCGAAGATGAGGGATGGCGGCAGTGAGGTGGCTCGTGCAGGCAGTGGTGGCTCTGGTGGCGGTGCTCGGGAGGGCGGGGGTGCTCGGAAGAGGTGGATCCGGCGCCGGTGGTGCTCGAATCCAACGATGATGACACCGAGTCCACAGTGACCACGACGACCATGAGTCCACCGTGGCCATGACGACAACTTCGAGTGTGACAAAGCCGGCAGCGGGTTCACTTGGGCCAACGGCAGCCGGCAGATTGTTGTTGTTAATCTGTTATGCTAATGATGCCAATGTTGATATTTGTGATGCTCTGTATTTGGATTGATGCTTGAATGATGTTCATGTTCATTTTCAATTTTTTTGGCAACTTCTTGGTTGAGATGGTAGAAAGGGATTTTGGGGATTTAATTTTTTTCTGGAAAATCATTTTCTCTAGCGGTTGGCATTATCTTGCCGCCTGCAAAAGTCCATTTTCTGCGGCAGGTACCAATCCAGGCATTTGGATTTCCTGTTGCATTCTAATCCTATATAACATGGGATATATGTAGGAAGTCTCTGTAAACACAAATCAAGAGCTAGCAAAAATGCCTTTAGAGTGGACGGTCTCATGCATTCAATTCATGAGCATTTTGGCTTGAATTGGCGATACAAGTACAACTAGCATTTCTTTATACAGTTGCCAGCAGTCAAGGTGTTCAACAAGAGCTACATCAGTAGTTGGGTGATTAACTAGGTCATATAATGTTCAGTACTTTGCCACTCTCTCCCATTACTGTAATTGGCAACAGTAAGTCAGAAGGCAAAAATTTAAATTTTAAAACTTGATTTTGAATTTGATTTTGATGCTTTTCAACATAGTTTTTTTTTCAGCTTTAACTTTTCAATCACTAAGAACATATATACAAAAATTTTACTCACATATCATTTTTTAATCGCTAATAAGCCGTTATGGCTTATAATAAGACATGGCCAACCGATGGAGACCTGAGTTTAATGTGAAAATTTTGAAGATGATAGAACACGACTGTTTATGATTGACTTTTTAGAGGATATGTCTGCAAGGATGATTGGAACAAGCCTTTGGTTGCGGATGTGTCATGGCCAATTTTGTCAATTATGCCGCCACTTTGGCACTTTGCTACTTCTTTTTGGATTTATTTACATTGAAAAAGCTCTAATGGGACCTTACATAAAGTATAGGGTATGGTAAATATGCAACGAACTTGCACCCCCAACGAACTTGCAGGGTACTTAGGTTCATTCTGATTTCTGAATTATGAAATTCGTAATAATCAAATACCGAGAGTTGGATGCACTATTTTACTTTCATCACTTCATTATTTTTTACTTGTTTATTTATTTATTGTGTCTAGGCATGACAAATGAAGTGTAATGCCGACGTGCCAAAACAATGCAACGCCATGAATTTAAAGAAAGGTTTGGGAGTTTTGGTAGCGTTTGATTATTAGAAAATCGATACCACATTGCAGCTGAAAAAATCAATTGAGAACACACAACTACAGATGATATGGGTTAATTGGATCCATGGCAATGCAAATATGCCAATTCAAAAAAATGCCAGTGCTATGCGCATATCGGCTACGTGCTACTGGAATTTAGAGAAATTGAAACCAATTGACGAATTCCCAGATGCATCCTAATCCTATATATATACTTGGGTATCGATGACGAATGATTGGAGGTGTCTTCGTCCGTCGGTGATCTTACTTTGACCTGTAAACTTTCACAATCTCAAGTCATGAATGATTGAGAAACAGCAGAAGGAAATGGTTTGTACTGTATATAGAGCTAGTCTGGAAGAAATTTAATTGTGGCACATTGTACTTGGCTCCATAAATCTCACCCATAAGAAACTGTGGCAGTTTGCACATATTATTATCACCCATAAGAAAAAAACACTAATGAACCCACCTAATATGTACTCATGGATCTCAAATTGGTTGGGACATATACTGTATATATTTGTCGGAGAAGTAATTTCTTGGCCTTTATTATCTGCATCATTTTGTAGTTTGTTGGAAACAATTAAATACGAGTTACAAGCAAAGCATCTATTTTTATTCTCGTTTCTTAGGCAATGTTGACGTCATCTCACACGAATAAATTGGATAAAGAAAAAACCAAAACATCAGTATCGGAAAGTTTGTAAAATTTGTTTGGGTGTGTGGTATTTGCATGCTGATAGAACTTTAATAAAAATTGCCCCAAAATATATACTTTACTTTACAATATTTTTATCACAAAAATATTGATAGTACAAACTTGAATATTTTTACTACCACTGTGTATATCTTGGGAACAATTGTTTTAAACTCTTAAGAGAATGTCCCCTCGTCTACTCAAACGTGATTCAAAAATCGTTAAAAATTGACAACATTCATACCATATATATAAACTACTGCACAAAAATCAAATCAAAACTTAACTCACACATTGAGAAATAAAAAAAAAGATAAATCCAGCATATGAATAGTATTGGTGCTATTCATGTCTGATTTTGTCTTTTTCGTTTCTTAATGTGTACTCCCTCCGTCCAAAAAAAAAAAAGACAAACTCTGGGTTCCCATATCCAACGTTTGACCGTCCGTCTTATTTAAAAAAATTATGAAAAAAAATTAAAAAGACAAATCATGCATAAAGTATTAATCATGTTTTATCATCTAACAACAATGAAAATATTAATTATAAAAAATTTCATATAAAACGGACAGTCAAACGTTGGACACGGAAAACCAAGATGTCTTTTTTTGGGACGGAGGGAGTAGATAGAATTTGAAAATGATTTTTGGTGGAGTGATAGATATTAGAGTTAATTTCACTTTGGGCCATACTTTATTGCCAAAGTTTCACTTTAAACTACCATTTGTCCAATCTTTTCACTTTGGACTAGGTAACTTTACCTTTGTTACACAATGAACCACCCCAAACCACATCTTCAGTTTTTCGATGATTTCAAGCAAATTGTTAACGACATGCCAACAAATTTTCATACCTAAATGCTTGCTATACCTTTGTCAAAAGAGACGCTAGACATCACTAACGTAAAGAGTTAGAGTGGTCCATTACGCAAGAAAGGTAAAGTTACCTAGTCCAAAATGAAAAGATTGTGTACAGGGTGGTCTAAAGTGAAACTTTGACAATAAAACATGGCCCAAAGTGCAATTCACTCTAGATATTAGTAATATAGTCTACATTGTCATTTTCTTTTTATTTTTCATAACTATTCACACTGAATTTGAACGAAAAAGCTACAAGGGGACTCAAGGGATTAGAATCGTCATCCTACCAAAACGACAGCCTACCAATGTTGGAAGGGAAACGAGCGGATGAACATCCCGATGAATCCTAACCCACGCACTCTAGTTTCAGTCAAGATGGCTTTAAGCCTGTCCTAAAAAAAAGTCTCAGTCAAGAAAAGGAAGTGAATGCTTCATATCTCCTTTGGACACTGGAGCTCACGGAAGGAACAAGTAGTGAAAAATAAGCAATAAACTTGAGCCTAGACCTGCGGCCCATCAATTAATCAGAATATTCTTGACATCTTATATTCTTAGGCCATCCACAATGTAGCCACCAGAGAGGATCAATTTCTAGAGTTTAGCTTATATATTATGAGTAGACCATATGGTCGTCCTTAGTATATGAACTACCAATATACATGAGGCTAGCCAAAAAATAAAATAACAACAATTTTTATCTTCTCTCTCCTCTTCTCTCACATGGCTACTTTTGCTATATAATTGAGCAGGACGAATGAGACCTAGTCTAATGTTTCCTATTGCTATATACTCCCTTCTTCCTAAAATATAGCAACCTAGGCCTTTCCGAATTCGTTATACTGGGTTATGTCCAATGTTATCTTAAGATGCTATATTTTGAGATTGGATGGCAACTACCATAGGTAATACTGGAGAATACCTTATAACTCAAGTAATCATTATACATTGAGCACGTATGAGTTATTCTTCATTCGATCTGAACCCAAAACATAATGTTCTATATTCATCGCTTTAACTTTGTTATATTTTTTTCTTGGTGCTTACGTACAAGTATGAGAAACTGAAGTGTAGTATGGCCGACACACCTCATTGCATCTGGATGTTTGGCTCATCAAACTTTCCCACAGCGCAAGCAACCACGATTGAGCCGCACAGATCTCTTGGCTCACAAGCAGGTAACTGAACTTGAAACGGTCAAGTGCCTAAATGTATACAGACCAGACTTGCATCAGAAAGTCCCTGTCTCCATAGCATCAGATTGGGCTGTTGTGCATGATTGAAAGAGAGGTAGTCAAATTTCCTAAATGTGTCTTATTCCTATGATTGTAGCAGTTTGGAATGTTTTAGATAATTCTTAAATCGGTTTGTCTTCAGCAACATTGAATGGTTGAAAAATATAATATAATCATGTAGGGTTCCTTTTAAATGCACAAGAATCAGTTCAATTCCCATCGGAAATGGTAAGAATTCCCTTATTCCAAATGTATGAATAGAGCAATGTGGGCAATGTGAGAAAGGAGTGATACCGTGACCAAGGTATGAATGGACTAGATCAATGGCAAGATGCTTTGTACTTCTTGGTAGAAATTCATTTTTTTTCCTTCTCTTTCACACTCTACTTCGGAGTATCAGGATATTTAATGAAAACTATCTAAAGAGGTGAAGTACTGGGTGATCATAGCTTAAGCTATGAGCTTTGGGATTGGTATTTGCTGCTGAACTGCTTATAGTAGGTTTACCTTATTCTGCTTGGCCACCATTAACCAATAAATGCTGAAGGAATTTTAGCAATTCCAAATTCCAATGCAGGCGATTTTGCACATACCAGCTGTAAGGAAATGAAATCAATAAAGCTTTCATTTAGTTGTTATAAACTAACAGTATTGAAACAATTCAGCAAAACATCTGAAGTTCCATAAGTAATACTCTCCTATCAGCAACATTTGGGGCCTTTTTCACAAGTAATTTATTTTTTTGTTTGGTGTGTTTAAGGCTTATCGTACCACTTAAATCCTTAAATCCATGATGTGCTACACCCAATGTTCACCCCACCTGTGCATCAGGTCCATGGCTTGTATTTACAGCGTTCTTGCAGTACTCTCATGAACAGGCAACACTGATGCAACCCAATCAAGTTACCTACTCCACTGTCCTACCAAGGCACACAACAGAGGTACCATGCCACTATACACAGAGAGGATCCTGAGCCTGGTCATGCATGCGACTCTCAGTCCCTTGACTTGTTTAGTCCCCTCCCTCCCTTTGGTCAGGACTATCCACCCTTGCCTTGGTAAGTTCATAATGTGTTTTCCAGTCTAAAATAATTACTATTACTTACTGACCCGAGTTAGTAGTTGACTGGTACACATGATTGCCCAAAACAAATATGGTTGCTTACATACAAAAATCAGTATGTGGCTGTTATACCATATTTTGATATTTACATGGATTACCTAGAAGAAACGGTAGACTTCCTTCCTTCCTGGGTGTACATTATCTCATGTCTATGGTAAGTGAAAACCTGCACAAGGTAATTCTAGTAAGCATATTATGTTTGTGTATATAATCAAAGGATAAAAAAACAGTAAAATAGATACATCTCGGAATGACCTGAGAATAGTCACATTAGGAAGCTCTGACAGTATTCCATTGTGAAATTATCCCAAACAGCTGAATTAATCAAATGCCAGATAAAAATCTTGCCATTTTAAAATCGATGATGGATCATTGCAAATTGTGTCATCACCATTGCAATCTTGTTCCACTAATGAAACAAGAAGTTCCATCATTCTTTGCATCTCTCTTGACTGATGGAGCATCATATCATTGGATACAAATGTCTGAACAATTCCACCTATCTCTATCCAGCTACAGCCCGGCACCTTGTTGCCACACATGTTCCTCATTACACTTCTTACCTTTGCAAGCTCATTCCAATCTCCTGCAGCAGCATACGTATTAGATATAAGCAGGTAATTGATTGGATCATCTGGCTTTAGACTAAATAGCCTAGAGGCAGCCCACTTTGCTGACTCAATGTTTCCTCGCATTCTGCAAGCACCAAGGAAAGCTCCAATGACATCAACATTTGCGTCGCAGGACATATTGACCAAAAATTCGTAGGCATCTCTAATCCTACCAGCTCTCCCTAAGAGATCAACTAGACAAGCAAGATGCTGCGGAGTTGGATCAATTTTGTAGTCCCTCGTCATTAGAAGAAAGTACTTGAAGCCATCTTCAATGAGCCCAGCATGACTGCACGCAGAAAGAACTCCAAGAAATGCAATGCCATCAGCCCGTATGCCTTGTTGGAGCATTCTGTCAAACAGGTCGATTGCACTCTTGGCAAGTCCAAGATATGCAAAAGAAGAAACCATTGATGACCATGTAACTAGATCTGGGTTATGGATCATACCAAATGTTCGTTTTGCTTCTTGAACAAAACCATTCTTACCATAAGCCATGATAAGGGCATTGCCCACTTGTAGAAAGTCTTGCAAGCCTCTTCTAACAGTGTAAGCATGAAGCTGAGTAGCCTCATTAGCAGCCGCCATGTCGGCACAGGAACTAAGTAGACTGGCAAGCGTAAGCTCGTCAGGGCAAAACCCATGTCTCATCATCGACACGAAAAGGTCGAAGGCTTCCTTGCCTCTGTCATGCTTACCATAGCAAACAATGATTGCATTCCAGGATACGGTATTTCTCAGCACCATGGCATCAAACACCCGGCTAGCCTCAGCAACTTGGCCGCATTTGGCATACATATCAAGGAGCGCAGTGGCTACCACCACATCCAGGTGGAGACCCAACCTGATCACAATCCCATGCACCGAGCTTCCCAGGACCAGCAACAGGTTGGCATGGTCATAGCACGAAGAAGAAGAAGAAGCACGCACACTGAGCAAGGCACTGAACGTGAAGCCATCGCCGGGAAAACCAGACCGCCTCATGGAGCCAAAGACATCCCAGCACTCCCTCACAAGGCCGTGCGAAGAGTAGCAGGAGACCATGACGTTCCAGAGCACCTGGTCCCGGAGCGGCGTTTCGTCGAACACCCTGCGGGCGCGGTCGACGAGTCCGGACTTGGCGTAGGCGTCGGCGAGCGCGGTGGCCACGCGGGCGTCGGAGCCGCTCCCGGACTTGACGGCGAGCGGGTGGACCGCCGCGCAGGCGGGGCGGCCGCGGACGCCGGCGCTGGCCCCGGAGCGGAGGAGGCGGAGCAGGGCAGCGGCGCGCCGCATTTCGTCGAACGGGTGGGGTGGGGTGGCGCTGGCGCAGCGGCATCGCCGCCCGTCACAACCAGCAGTGAGCCGCACGCGCGGAGTGAGAGGGACACGGTTTGGGATTTTGGATTGGCCAAAATCGGATTGTGACCTGACGAATACCGTCTCAATTCAAAATTTCAATTCTAAGTGAAAAGCCTCCAATTTGGTTACGAATCTTCACCCGTACACTGCTTAGTACTAGCTTAGAGCATCCACAATGTAGGTTTTAGAGAGGGTATCATAGTAGAGAGAGCTCTCTGGTACTAATCCTACAAACTATATGTGTTCTTTGACAGACAATACCATTAACTTTTTAAATAACGCTTGACCATATCATTTTATTTTAAAATCAATATAAATATACTTAAGTATAAGTCATATTTGAAGTTTCTTTAACGACAAAAGATGCCACAACATAATAAGTGACATTTTTATTAGTTTTTTAATACGATGAAACGGTATGTCGAAAATTAACGGCATCATAGATTAAAAAATAAAGGATTATATGTTTTGCATAAGTATAATATAATTTTCCCTTCTGTGTACATAACATTACTCACATGTGGACATGTCTTGGATGCTATGTTTTCTTCTTTAGAATTAGACTTGTACTTTTCAAAATTTGAAAATATACCCTTCAATGATTTTTATTTAAAATAGACTGTTTGCCCAAGAGGTGAGGTGACAAGCACAAATATCACTAGAAATAGTGGCTTAATTAAATGCTTAATAGTATAGTTAAAGTTTTTAAAGTATTATATGGAAATGAATCCAGCATCAAAATTAAACATGTATGAGTCCTAACGAAGTAATGATTTATCATGTTTCGTGCCCTATACATTATACAACACTTGAATCCAACAACGTATCCGAAAATGCTTCCCATCGGGTGCCCAATCCATGCCTAAAAGATCGGGCGCCCTCTCGTCTTGTTGCTTATTTCTTTACATGGTACTCTTATTCTTATTTTATGCCGTGTAGTAATCCTTCATATGCATGCATGTAACTATTATTTCTTCTAAACTATTTTTCCAATCTACGATATAATTGCACCATTAAATTCGTTGCGAGTAAATATTTCACAACAAGATCACACGTAGTTATATTCCGTTGAAAAAATATTTATTTTTTAAACGGATTTTTAAGTTGCACATGATATTCTGAAATGTTTTAGTAAGTATTTCATAATGTTTTAATAGTGACAACTTAATGAAATCATAGATATATAAAAATGCATCAAAACATTAAGTATTTGTGTTAAATGCTTCGAAAACAAATAGTATTTGATTGGTTACAAATTTATAATAACTTTGATCTTTTTTTCCTTTACTGTAAATAACTCTTTTTGTTATAAAATTATATTGTTGGCCAAATGCATGGCAATCTTTCCCATAAAAAAACATATATTTCATATGATTATTTTTGTGTTTCACTTGTTCGGACTTAATGTTTCATATAAGTGTTTGTTGATGTTGCAGTTAGCCGTTTTAAATGTTGTATTTCTTTAAAATATTTTATACAGTAAACTGAAACAATGTTCTATAAAGAGTGAAACAATGGTTGATTTTTTTATCAAAATATACTTGCGTGAGATCTGATTGTAGGGATTTAGTTATAGGGAATATAACGATTTAGATCGTATAATTGTTTTAATAGAAAAATCGTTTAAAAGTTTGTTTTTACAAGTGAGATGAGTGAAAGGGGATATAGCTACTCCCTCCGTTTTTTTTAATAGATGACGCCATTAACTTTTTCTCACATGTTTGACTATTCGTCTTATTCAAAAAATTTATGTAATTATAATTTATTTTGTTATCAGTTGTTTTATCACTCATAGTACTTTAAGTGTGATTTATATCTTATTTATTTGCATAAAATTTTTGAATAAGACGAATGGTCAAACATGTGAGAAAAAGTCAACGGTGTCATCTATTAAAAAATAGAGGTAGTACGTTAGTTCACATGCATGGAGGTTGTGCATGTAAGTATGTCAGGCAGCACACAGTAGTAGGGGCGCCCGATTTGTAGTGAGGTCGCCACATATCGCTTGAAAATTACAGCCACCGGAGAAACCCTTTATCTCTCCTGGTTTGTAACCCCTAGGTAGCGAACCGGGAGGGAAAATCTGGGACTAAAGATGGCCGGCCTCTTTTTTAAACCGGGACTATTGTGGAAATAGCCTGACCCAGCAAAAATAACTTCTCCCGTAGTGATCGGTTATACATAGGATGTCGCTTCTTTGAATAATTCATAGTGTATTTGGAGATCGATCTATCCCATCCATCATCCATGGTGGCTGGTTCTCAGGGCATTATTTTTATTTGTGGTAAACGCAAATAATGTTTAAGACCTCTTCCTAATCTTAAGGTCTCTTTTATTTACAGGATAGAAAAAAACTAGGAATAAAAAAACATAAAAATTGAAGTAGACGATTCTCAAATCCTAAAGGAATTAAAAAATATGGAAAAATAATAGGAGCCCTTTGATAGTACCATGAAAAAACAAAGAAAAGTTTAAAAAAGAAGTTACATTAATTTTCATGTGAGCTCCCCTTCTAAAGTACTAAAGTAAAGACAGCTATGTGTGATGAAGTAAGCCCTACGATGCTCGGTTAAGCTTTACAAAGGTTACCCATAGCACATTAATGCTAAGTTGGACCGGCTAATAGTATGCTCGCATGATGTTATTATACTTGCCTTAGAGATACCCCTCATGTGTTGATGATAATATTATTTGCAATCTTCTACATGTTTTTTTCAAGGAGTTTTCCCGTTCTTTATAGGCTAGTTCGATATAAGAGCAAGTTTAATAGTATAGCCCATTACAAGCTCCAATTCACCTATAACCGATCTAATAACCAATTTCTATACTAATATAAAAAGAAGGAGTTGCCCCCTCCAATCCTACAGGTGAAATCAACCAGTTAAATCCTACCGTCCATCTATCAATTCAACGAATCCAACGGCTCAGCCTCTCCTCCCCGTTCCCATCACCCCCTCCCTCCCCACCCCCCCAACCCCCCCGGCGACCACAGCTCACCCAAAAATTACGCCACCTCTCCCCTGCCAACGCGCCGCGCCGCCGTTGCCCCGTCATCCCTCCCACTACACCTCAACCGCCCCCTCCACCGTGCCGGCCACCCCCTCTTCGCGCATCCTTTCTACTCCGATGGCTCAGCGGAGCTCGAGCGTCGTTCGTCGCCCACTGCCTACCCCCCACCCCATGGTGCCACCCTGGTAGATCGCCATCACTCACGGTGTCGCCCAAGAAGTTCGTCGGGCTCCCTGCTCCTTCCCCATCACATGGGCCTCCTCGCCGGTGATCTCCTCCCTTCTCACCGTCAAGTAACGTCGTCGATCCCCCGCTGCTGCCACACCTTGTCACATTCCAGTGCATGCCCTCGCCCATATGGCTAGATCAACTTGTTTGGATCGCATCGCTCAAGCTGGGGTTAGTTCTATGGATATTTGCTACTCCTGTTGATACTTGATAGGTATATTCATCTGAATCATCTGGTACTATCAATTGCAGGTTCTGGACCAGGTTGGAATATATTGAAAGTGTGATTGGCTCAACACGATAGATTGCATTATCGATATGACAGAGTACATATAGGCCCAAGCCTTCCATATCTACCGCAACCGATTTATAGAAACAATATCGGAGGGGATAAGGAAGGGAGGGAAACAAATATACACAATCGCAATCTAACACCCCCCCGCAGTCGGAACGTCGACGGAGCAGACATTCAGACTGGACCGGAACTCCGAGAAGATCGTGCTGGGAAGACCTTTGGTGAAGATGTCGCCGAACTAGGATGTCGTGGGAACATGTAACACACGAACCGAACCCACGGCGACACAGTCACGAACAAAGTGTAGATCAATCTCCACATGTTTAGTGCGCTGATGCTGCACCGGGTTAGTAGAGAGATAAACAACACTCACATTGTCGCAGTAGACCAGTGTAGAATGACTCGGAGGGGTATGGAGCTCATGAAGAAGCTGTTGAAGCCAGGTAGTCTCAGCCACAGCGTTGGCCACCGCCCGGTATTCCGCCTCAGCACTGGAGCAGGACACGGTGTGCTGGCGCTTCGAGGACCATGAGACAAGGTTGTCACCAAGGAAAACAGCGTAACCCGAGGTGGATTTTCTGGTGTCGGGACAACCTGCCCAGTCAGCGTCAGAGTAGGCGGTGAGATCGACCGGAGTGGAACGCCGAATGTGGAGACCGAGGTCAGGAGTGCCGCGGAGATAGCGCAAGATGCGCTTTAGAGCGGCAAGATGCGGCTCCCGCGGGTCATGCATGTGAAGGCACACCTGCTGTATGGCATAAGAAATGTTAGGCCAGGTGAAGGTCAGATACTGCAGAGTGCCGGCAAGACTACGGTAGTCGGTAGGGGCAGCAACAGGAGCACCATCAACAGCTGACAACTTGGCATTGGTATCCACAGGGGTAGCACACGGCTTGCAGTCAGACATGCCGGCACGGTCCAAGATCTCAAGGCAGTACTGCCGCTGACTGAGGTAGAGACCAGAAGACTGGCGTGTGAAAGAAATGCCCAAGAAGTGATGAAGGCTGCCAAGGTCCTTCATGGAGAACTCCAACTGTAGCGACCGGATCGTCCACTGATGGAGAGCATCAGAGGAAGCTATGAGCACAATGTCATCCACATAGAGTAGCAGGTAGACCATATCAGCACCGTGGCGGTAGATGAACAGAGAAGTATCTGACTTAGCCTCAACAAAACCAAGTGATAGGAGGAAACTGGCAAACCGGCTGTACCACGCTCGGGGGGCCTGCTTGAGGCCGTAGAGGAATTTGTTGAGGCGGCAAACCATGCCAGGTCTGGTGGAGTCAACAAAGCCAGCCGGTTGTGTGCAGTAAACTGTCTCCTGAAGAGTGCCATGGAGGAAGGCGTTCTTGACATCTAGCTGGTGAACCGGCCAATCACGCGAGACTGCCAGGCTAAGGACCGTGCGGACAGTGGCGGGCTTGACGACTGGACTGAAGGTCTCGTCGTAGTCAATGCCGGGACGCTGGGTGAAGCCGCGAAGAACCCAACGGGCCTTGTACCTGTCCAGGCTACCATCTGCCTGAAACTTGTGACGAAAGATCCACTTGCCGGTGACGACGTTGGCGCCATGTGGACGGGGCACCAGATCCCAGGTGTGGTTGGCCTGAAGTGCGGAGAATTCCTCTTCCATGGCGG